CATCTAGGTGTTTCCATAAATCCTCTGAAGTCTAGGCAGAGGTTACCAAACATCAGTTCTTGACTTCTGTGCACTGCAGACTCAACAGCATGGGGAAGCTGCCAAGGCTAGGGGCTTGCACCCTCTGAAGCCAAGTCCTGAACTGCACCTTGGCCCCTTTTAGTCATGGCTGGAGTGGCTAGACTGCATACAACAGAGGGACTCTGAGTCTGGCCCATGAAACCATTTTTATTTTTCTTGTAGCCCTCTGGGACTGTGATGGGAGAGGCTGCCACACATTTCTCTGACATTCCCTGGAGACAGTCTCCCCACTGTGTTGGTGATTAACATACAACTCCTCATTACTTATGCAAATTTCTGCAGCTGGCTTGAATTTCTCCTCAAAAAATGAGATTTTCTTTTTTTATCACATTGTCAGGCTGTAAGTTTTCCAAACTTTTAGGCTGTGTATCCCTTTTAAAACAATGCATTTAGCAGCACTCAAGTCACATCTTGAAAGCTCTGCTGCTTAGAAATTTCTTCTTTAGATACCCTAAATTATCTCTCTCATGTTGAAAGTTCCACAAATCCCTAGGGTAGGGGCAACATGCCACCAGTCTCTTTGCTAAAATATAATATGAGTCACCTTTGCTCCAGTTCCCAATAAGTTCCTCATCTCTATCTGAGACCACTTCAGCCTGGATTTCATTGTCCATATTATTAACAACATTTTGGTCAAAGTCATTTAACAAATCTCTAGGGAGTTCCAAACTTTTCCACATTTTCCTGTCTTCTGAGCCCTCCAAACTGTTCCAACTTCTGCCTGTTATCCAGTTCCAAAGTTGCTTCCACATTTTCAGGTATTTTTTAGAGCAGAACCCCACTCTTGGTACCAATTTACTGTGTTAGTCCATTTTCCTGCTGCTGATAAAGCCATATCTGAGACTGGGCAATTTATAAAAGAAAGAGGTTTAATGAACTCACAGTTCTACATGACTAGTGGGACCTCATAATCATGGTAGAAGGTGAAAGGCATGTCTCACATGGTGACAGAAAAGAGAAGAGACCTTGTGCAGAGAAACTTTCCTTAATAAAACCATCAGAACTCGTGATTCACTGTCATGAGAATAGAATAGTAAAGACCCCCATCATGATTCACTTATCTCCCACCAGGTCCCTCCCACCTGGGAATTATGGAACAACACCTAAGAATTATCAAGACAAGATTTAGGTGGGGACCCATCCAAACCATATCAATACTGAAGGAAAGGGCAGTAGGTATAGAGAGTTCTGTCACCTCTAGTGCTAGAAATTTGAGCAACCCTTCCAGTGTCTCCCCCTAGAGTCAATATTTGTGAAATGAGAGTGTTAGGCCCTTTAGGCATTTTTCCAGTTGAAAATGAAAAAATCTGTGACTCTGTGAGAGTCTTGTCTGCAACTCTATTAGTCATCATAAGAGAAAAATAAAATTATCACTGCAAGCACATGAGTTCTTCTGAATGGCTAGACCTAAAGTTGAATCTTTTTGATGATCCCTATGACTACAGTGAACTTAGCTTCATTAGATGGTCAGCTTCTAATATAACAAATGCCATAATAAACTCCAATTATGGCAAATTTCTGTAACTTGAAGAATATCATTCAAGTTTCTTTGAAACATTAAGCCCTTGTGTATTTGTTCTATTCATTGAATCGGTACTATTACTTCATCCAATGATTGAATTAAACTTGTTTTAAAATAGTGTTAATTGAAGGTTTGCAGAAAACGTATTTATGTATTTAAGTTCTACTTCTACATGTTCGTTAAATGACATTTGACATCCTCATCATGAAATATAATATTACTAATATTAAGTTTTAAAATATCACTTTGGTAGTATTATGGACGATAAAGTAAAAGACAGAACGTAGTGATTATATAACAGACAATTTTTATCACACAAGAAAGAAGCATTAGAATTCTGGAAGGAGGACTTGATGGGATTGACAAGAAAGGGAGATATGTGTGGAAATGTTAAGAGAGCAGAAGAGCCAAATTAGATCTGTCATGAGAGGAACATGACATATACAATGACTTTCTGATATTTGGCTTGATATACCAGATGAATTCTTATGCCCCAAATAAGATTTAAGATAGAAAGTATCTACTTTCGAGTTAAAGTTATACACTTGAAAAATACGTGTGCGTCTAATTGAATGTTTCATTAAAGAAAAATTGGTGTTTCTTATTTTTTTTTACTAGAAAATGAAATGCAGATATAGAAAACACACATATGTATAGCTCAATAAAATATTTTAGGGTGAACGCCCTTGTAACTACCATTCAAGTTGCTAAATAGAAATTTGCCAGCTACCCAGAGGTCTCCTCAGAATTCCTATACCATTTCCAACCTTCTTTCTCCTCCCCAAAGTAATCACTATCCTGACTATTTTAGTTACCACTTCACTACATTTCTTTTAATGTTACATATAAATGAGAATGCCTAGATAGCATAATTTAATAGTACTAAAATTTTGCTATTTTTAGACCTTTTATAGTCTGCCAAAAAACACTGAGTGTTTGACCTGTAGAGAATATCTCATAATCTGAATTTTATAGATAGCAAAATTATGTCTACATTATCTCTTTTTTGTGACATTGTCAGAAGTGGTTCTAATGCATCAATTCATTAACTCACTGGGGAATTTCCTCTATTATTATTAATTGAGGAATTAAATATCTCATATTTCTCTATTATTTATCTTAATTTGTTAATTAAATACTTTTATGAAGAGACACATCCCCTCTTGTACTTGGTTACTCAGTGGAAAATTCATATTGGAAAGGCATGATAAATGCTTGACTCTGTCCTTCTGTATATCTATATTCAAGAGAATTAATAGGTTTGTCTATTATCCTTCAACATTAACCAATAATGTTGTACTATTATGAAATAGTTTGTCTATCCCTGGATAATAAAAGCCTCTAGAAATTAGCTTTCGCATCATTTTGACATGATTATAATGGCCTTTAACGGCTTCCTTGATGTCTGATATGGTTTTTTACATTCCCTGCTCCAGTGCTGGAATCAGCCATATCCCCATATAGCCTCACCTTCTTTTAGTAATAGATGGTAATTTAAGACTACAGTCTGGGACTTAAGTATGCTAGGTAGTCAGCAAAATATAAAAATTAGCATTCCAATAGCATGATTCATATTGATAATTCTAGTTCATTGCAGGTTTTCTTTTTTTTTTCTTTTCATCTTAACCACTGTACATTCCATCTATATTTCTCCACCTTGGAAAACCCTTATTCTCTAGATCATAAGTGATGATAATTACTCACTTGTTTTATACAGCAGTAGACACACAATAATCTTATAACAATAATATAAATATTCTACTGCTAATATAATTAATAAAAACAGTGAAAGTAGTTTTTCATAAAAGATCTTACTTATTTCATCATTAAAAAATATCAGAACACATAGCTATTCAAACAATACCCTTTCCATGACAATCATCATTAATTTTATATCTATAAACGTCCATAAATTTAGTTCTCACCACTCATCCTTACAGTGATGTTTTCTAGTCATCTTAGTTGTCTGAAGTTCAGCCTTTAGTAAATTCCTTATGAATGGCTCAAGGGAACATACTTTTTAAATTCTTGCATATTGATAATAGTTTGAACTTTAAGTTCTTATGTATCGATAATACTTTGAACTCAGTTTTGCTGAGTTTAAAATCTTCATTTGTTTTCATTGCATATGTTGAATATATTACTCTGTTTTCTTTGAGGCTAAATGTCATTGTCAAAGAGACTAATGATAAACTAGTACTTTTTTCTTGATTAATTAATTAACTTAATATAAAAAAAATCTCTGTTTCTTTGAAACTTCATATTTCGTGACATTGGTCAATGTGGAACCATATTCTTACATATGTGAAATGATTTTTTTTTGTTTGAGATGAAGTTTTTTTTTTTTTTTTTTTTTTGCCCAGAATGGAGTGCAGTGGAATGATCTCAGCTCACTGCAACCTCTGCCTCTTGGGTTCAAGCAATTCTTTTGCCTCAGCCTCCCGAGTAGATGGGATTATAGGTGCGTGCCATCACACCCAGCTAATTTTGTATTTTTAGTTGAGATGGGGTGTCACCATGTTGGCCAGGCTAGTCTTGAACTCCTAGTCTCAGGTGATCCACTAGCCTCAGCCTCCCAAAGTGCTGGGATTAGAGGAGTGAGCCACCGCTCCCAACTGATATGCTCTTTTAATATGTAATTTATAACTCTTCTTTATATTAGGTAGTTTTTCTAAATTGAAATTTTTAGTGTCATTTTCTTTTTCTTTTATTCCTCTTTCATCCTTTGGGCTGTTACTGTCTATTGAAAATTCTTCTTTTGCCTATCTTCAATAGTTGTCACTTCCTAATTTTTTAAATCTCTTCTTTCATTTACTTCTGAATTTTAAAGCGTTCTTCTTTTTTATCTTTTACCTTTTATTTATCTTAAGGTGTTTCCTATTGTGTTTATGTTTCTCTAATTTATTTCTGAAAAGTTGAATTTTTAAAAAAATTTCTCTTTCCTGAGTTCTCTTAATATACTTCTCGGGTTTTCTTTCATGTCATTCCTGAATTGTTTTTTTAATCTCTTAAGTAATTTTAATTTTACTTGAGTTCATTTTGAACTAGTAGATTATAGTTTGTCTATAAAATATCTTTTTTGTTATACTTTCATATAAAAACTTTGTATGGAATTTGACCTCAATGTTTTTATTTATTTTGATGTAAATTTTTTTGTTTCTAAACTTCGTGAAGGTGGTGTGATTCTAGGAGATTTTCTAAATTTCTCTCAATTCCTTTTTTAGTTTTCATGTAATGTCAACACTGTAGTAGCTTGCTTTCTGATTTCCTGTTTTTTTCTCCACTTTTCTTTGAAACCCCACTTAACCTTTATCTCTATTGTAATTGCTTTGCTCAATTTTCATTTCACGTAGGGAGTTTATTTCACATAGTTTCTCTTATGCCTAGGAAACCTAACTCACTTGTTTTAAGATTTTCCACAGGCCAAACTGCACCAGCTTTTTCATGTTATCTTACGGTGGACTTCTCAACTCATTTCATACCAGATTTGGCAAAAACACTCTCAGTTCAGCTGCTGTCTTCAAATTGGAATGCTGTGACAAGACACCCTGTTGCTTTTTCTGGTTTCTCCTGCACAGAGGCTGCTGTCCTGTGGGTCTTGTGATTGTTGATGGTTGGTGCTCAATCATTTGTGTTTTGAAGTTTGTAGAAATATCTTGCCTTCTCAATTTGCTGTCAAAGTTGCTTATAATTTTGGGACATTTGATCTAGTTGTTTTGTGTGTTTCACTATCCAGTTGCTCTGTGTATGCTCATGAGATTCAAAAAGCATGTTGCCATAGCCATCCTCTCATAGTGTCCTCCCTCCCTTTCCTTTTTGATTGCATGAAACGGTGGGTAACAGAACTGACTCTGGAACTGGGGCTATCTGGGTTCAAATTCCAACTCTATTATTACATTATATGCAGTGTTACCTTGGCACACTTCTCAACATTAATATTGTGATTAGAATATAATTTATTGTTAAGATTAAATGAATTAATATTATTAAAGCACTTATAATTATGCCTGGTACATGGCCAGTGCAATAAATGTGTTTGCTAAATAAAGTGAGGTTTGATATATACTAGTCATTTAAAATTTGATTACTATACCATTGAAAAATATAGGAAAATACCATCAATAATATTCCGGTATTCTCTTGCTCAAAAAATTATAAAATTGGTTAGATACATAAGATTGTTTTGTATAAGGAAAAGACTATTGAATTAGTCAATGGACAGGTAAATAAACTAACTTACCAATAATTAAACGCAAGAGGGTAAGATAGTATAATTATTTTAAAACAAAAAATTTACCATAATGTTATTGCAACAAAGAAACAAAGACCTAATTTTGTTACTTATGTTTTGAAGTATTAATCAGGAAGTAATTGTTAGTTTTCCTGATGTTAAGTAGATATTGACTTCCAGATAAGGCAATGAACTTTCAAGATGTTTTCTGTCTTCATGATTCCAGATGTCACATTTAATGTCTCCTTGACAGTTTCATCCTTAATATTCACTGTGCAGAAAATGTAATCAATAGTCGCCTATTTCCAGTGACCCACAGCAAATGGATGTAATTTTAAATAGGAACAGTTTAGGTTTGATGAAATGAAGAATTTTATGAATGTGAAAGAATTTTATGAATGTGAAAATTTGGAAATGAGCATATAGAATTGTTTTTCAGAGGCATTTAAAGAATAGGATGGTTATTCTAGAATATATTGATATCATTCTTTGATACTGATAATTTATAAGGAAAATAATAACAATCATATTTAGGAAAGAATTATTTGTTAAGAAAATAATATGATTAAATGTAATGATGATTATAATAATACGTAAAGGTTAAATGATTATGAAGAACTAGGGGTAAACAAATATATACAATCCTATGGGAGATGTTAATGTAACACTTGAGAAAAAAGATATAAAACATTTTTTTAAAGGGACTTGCTTTATAAACATTCAAATTTGGAGCAAAGAGAACAAGTCAGATACATTAACAAGGAGTGTAAATGCCTTGTTAGAGAAAGCATATTGAGTCAATCCGAGTTAGTATGCTGGCTACTATGTTGTCTTTTGATTGGTTTCTCCATTACGGGCCTATCAAGGTTAATTTTGTGTGTGTTTTGACTTTCCACAGGTTATTGGTTTGCCTTTTCATCCACAGCAGAGCTCAAAATGAGCACAGCTTCCCCACAGAGCGAGTGCTATGAGCAATGTAGCAGTTCATCTGCTTCAAGGTCTTCTTCCCACTACCAGGTGTGTTACTCGACATGAGGCCAAGAGTGTGGGCTATTTTCACTGTGAAAAGACAGCAGCGAAATCTGAAATATTAGCATGTGGTATGAATATAAGTCACTTCTCACTGTGGTAGCATCCAGCTCTCCTCTGCATGATGTGCCTTTTTCAAGCTCAGAATAAATGGGTCATTTTTTAATTCTTCCTTTAAATCCCTTTCCTGGATTAAATTTTTCGAATGCAAAATTTGTTTAAGGCCAAAGTTAACCTACTAACTTCTGTTGCTTAGAATTCCAAAACATGGCCCATGGCATGGATAATAAAGAGTTATTAGAGTATGAATTAATCAAATAGAGCAGTTTAGTTCAGTTTACAAAATTGCTACTTTTAAATATTTATCCTAAATTTATCATGATGTTCAAAGGAATGGGATACCGCAGTACCAGGCTGTATCTATGAACTCTAATTTTACACTTTTATAATCTACTTGCTACCAACATGTAATATGATTGTGTGCTTCTAACAAATATTGATAAAATTGTGACATGAAAACTTTCCCTACATGAGGATTATATATTTGAGCAAATAATAAAAAATTAAATCAATCATTTGCCAGATATCAAAATATTTTACATTAATATTTTGAAACATTCCTTATTTTTAACATGTTGTTGGACACTTTATTATCAGTGGTTGACTTTAGTTTATTTTGCATGTGACTTAATTGAATAAATTACAGTGGACTCAAAGGCATTTGTTATTGTCCCTGCAAAGCCAGTCTAATTTCATTTTATGTTCTTCATTATTAGCATTACTGATCATTTCTCAATTTCTCCTTAGAATATTAACTAAGAAGATTTGCTGCTAATATTATGGCAATTGATTTTTAAAAGTGTTTCCTTTATAAAAAAATATAGCATTCATATTCTTTTTCTTTTGTCATTTAATTTTCATTGTTTGAACAAATGAATGTTATATCTTTTATGAGCACCAGGAAGTAAAGAATAATTTAATTTCTACTGAAGATAATTATTCAATTGGTTTCCTATCCTTTCATTTTTCACAATGAATTTTTCTCAATGGTAACTTTTCATAGCACTTTATAAAGTAAGCTTCAGCAAAAAATAGAGAATATATCAGAAAATTGTTTGGTTAAGAGAACATATATATTATTATATGAGTCTGTATATACACTTACATATACAATATACATATATAATATACACATTCACACATAATTTCAAAGGGAAAATTGTCATATATTTTATAGCAAGTTTCAGTTTATATGGTCTTAAATAATAATAAACCAAAAAGTATCGCAAACTTAAGATAATAGGTGTTTAAAATTCTTTACTGCATCAAAATAACTTTAGAAAAATTTTGGTATAAAATTGAGGTATGCAGGATAAGAAATTGATGGATAGGTGATTGGTTAATATAATTTATTAGTGTTTTCAAATAGACAAAAATTACATATAACTTTTAAGCTGAATTTCAAAGAAGGTAAAGATTTTTTTGTAATTCTCTAATACCAACATTCACTTACCCTTGTCCCTACCCTTTTTAGTATAACTTTTGGCATTTATTTTTTGATAATTTTTTTCCTCTGGGCACTTAACTAGGCCTCACTTCATCTGAACTACTCTTCCTGTTTCAGGACAGAGGTAAAATCTTCCTAAACAATGATCCAGTAAGTGAGAATTTCAAATCACTTCCCCCATTCCAGCTCACCTACCTGCATACTAAGACCACCACTTACCATTCAAAGTTTATTAGCATCTTCAGTTTTCCCTTTATTAAAATTGTATGTACTATAATAGCTGTGGGCAACATAAGTCAACATTCTTGGTGACTCATGCTGTATTAAGAGCAGTGCTACTAGTTTTATATACTGCATTTCTCAGATTCCTTTCAAATTCAAATTTGAAATTAACTTAGGTGATAAGAAAGGAAATTGATTGGCTTTCTGAGTAGTGCAGTCCACCTATGGATCAGGCACATCTGGATTCAGGGGTTCAAATCATGATATTGGTACTACCTTTTAATTTTCAATCTTTTTGTTGGGTTTCATTCCTCCAAAAGCTTTTTTCAGTATGTTGAAGAAATCAGATGCCAATAGTCACAGATTCAGATCCTCTCTGAAGTCACACTTAAAAATATTTAAATATAGAGATATAAAAATAAATATATATGAATTTTATAAATATAAATATAAGTGCAATTATACATATAAGCATAAACATAAAACTACCCATTTTAACTCTTTAAATACACGTAACAACCCAGTAAGAAAGGTGCTATATTTTTTTATCTCAATTTTAGATATGAGGAAACTGGAACACAAAGAAGTTTAAGTAATGTTCTCAAGGCTACTCTTTTCCATAGTGATGGAGCCAGGATCCCAATCTAAGGAGTCTGACATGAAGACCAATACTCTACATAGAAAGAAAGAGATGATCTGTGATTACTCAGCATTATTTACAATTATTTATGTCTCTGTGCCTGAACTGATCATTCGAGGCCCTGAAATAGAGCAATAAGTTACCAGAAAAGACCCATGGCAGATACACAAAAACAGCAGGTACTGTGAAATCACTGATCAAACTTTTACTTCCTCAGTGTCCAGTGGCCTCTCTAGGTTACCATGAGTCTGGGAGTGAGTGGAGCTGCTGCATTCATAGTCCCATCATATATAGGTGATAGATGAGTAATGTGTAATTTTTCCCAAGAAAAACAGTTTATTACTTTCAGCTGTTAAATACCCACAAACCTGTGGTGATTTTTAAATATGTCTACACATTCTTTGACATTACTCTCTTCAAAAGATTTTTCTCACCTAAATCATGAACTTCGTGATTCACATACAATAAGTAGAAAATGTGTTGAAAGTGAAAGTATATATGACTTTTGGATGGAGTTATACCAGGCATTGCAGTTTCTTCCTCACATACTCTGTCTTGGATCCCATGCTTTGAGGGAAACTAACAGCCAAGTTGTGAGAACACTCAAGCAACCTTGTAGAGATTCCTTGCCACAACCATGTGGCAAGGAATCGAGGCCTCCTGCCAACAATAACATGACTAGTCACTTATATTCTAAAGAGATTAAGGCAAGAAAAACTTTGTTTTACATCTCACCACATTCTTATAATTTTTGTTGTTCTTCAGTTCCTGGGTAGCTCTACATTTTTATCTGGTATCATTTTCCTTCTGCCTGAGGAACTTCCTTTAACATTTCTTACAGTTGAATTCTGATGGAAATGAAATCTTTACATTTGTGTTGATTTAAAAAGGCTTTCTGGCCAAGCATGGTGGCTCACGCCTGTAATACCACCACTTTGGTAGGCCAAGATGGGCACTTGAGGTCAGGAGTTCGAGACCAGCCTGGCCAACATGGCAAAACTCCTTCTCTACAAAAAATACAAAATTAGCCAGGCATGGTGATGCTTGCCGACAGACCCAGCTACTCAGGAGGCTGAGGCATGATAATTGCTTGAACCTGGGAGATAGAGTTCGCAGTGAGTGGAGATCATGCCACTGCAATCCAGCCTGGGTGACAAAGTGAGACTCTGTCTCAAAAATAAATAAATAAATAAATAAATAAATAAATAAATAAATAAATAAATAAATAAATAAAAGGCGTTCTTTTGCTTTCACTGTTCAAAAAGAGGCATTTTTTTTTTTTTTTTTTTTTTGAGACAGACTTTCACTCTTGTTGCCCAGGCTGGAGTGCAATGGTGCTCTCTCAGCTCACTGCAACCTCCACTTCCTAGGTTCAAGTGGTTCTCCTGCCTTCGCCTCCAGAGTAGCTGGGATTATAGGCAGGCACCACCATGCCCAGCTAATTTTTTGTATTTTTAGTAGAGACGGGGTCTCTCCATGTTGGTCAGGCTGGTCTTGAACTACTAACCTCAGGTGATCCACCCACCTCAGCCACCCAAAGTGCTGGGATTATAAGTATGAGCCACTATACTTGGCGAAAGAAAGGCATTTTTAATTTTTATCCTGATTGGTGTTTGTTGAGCTTATAGGAGTTGTGGGCTTGTATTATTCATTGAATTTGGAAAATTTTTAGCTATTAAGTTTAAATATTTTCTTTTTACTCCTCTCACCTCTCCACCAACTGCATTCTTGGACCACAGTTATATGAACACTAGATCAGCATATTTCCATATATTATGTTAATTATTTTTGTAAATGGTTCAATATGGGTAATTTCAATTATTTTATCTTCAAATTCAGGGATCTTTTTTTTGCACTGCCTAATGTGTTGCTCATCCCATCTTGCATATTTTTCATTTATTACATTGTTATTCCATATCTAGTTCAATTTTGGGTCTTTCTTTTTAAAAAAAAATCTCATTTACCACTTCCTCATGATTGTTTTCCTCTACAATCCCTATCTTAAGGAGGAGCATATTTATATTAGATGTTTAACATCACTGTCTTCAGTTTTATCCATGTATTTCTTGCTCCATTTTATTAATTGATTTGTCTCCTAATTGTAGATATAATCATTTTTTTAAGACGCTTGGTAATCTCTTACTATTGTTGGACACTGGGAATTTTCTGTTGTTGCATTTTGTTGATACTGACAATAAAATATTTTTGATATACATATTAGAACATATGTAAATATATGTATATGAATAGATATAGATCAAGAAAGAAATTCAAAAATTAGATCCATACTACATATATGGTCAATTGATTTACAATAAAGACAATAGGCAATTTAATGTGAAAGCCTAGTCTTCAACAAATTTTACTGGAACTGTAGGATATTCTTAAGGAAATAACAAATGTCAACCTTATTTCAAGTTGATCTACAAAAACAAAGTCAAAATAAATCACTTGCCCAAATATAAAGAGTAATGCTATAAAACTCCTGGAAGAAAATGTGAGAAAATATCTGTATGGCCTTGACCTGGACTTTCCCAAAAAGGAAACATTTTTCTCTTTGACAGATACCACCAACAAAATTAAAAAGCAAACCACAGATAAGAACAAGTATTAACAACATGCATATAGACAACTAGATGTTATCGAGAATATATACAAAATGTTTTTAAATTGCATTTTAGGTTTTGGGGTACATGTGAAGAACATGCAAGATTGTTGCATACGTATACAAATGGCAGTGTGATTTCCTGCCTTCCTCCCCATCACCTATATCTGGCATTTCTCCCCATGCTATCTCTCTCCAACTCTCTACCCACTACTGTCCCTCCCTTATCTCCCCTGGACAGACCCCAGTGTGTGATGCTCCCCTCCCTGTGTCATGTGTTCTCATTGTTCAACACCCGCCTATGAGTGAGAACATGTGGTGTTTGATTTTCTGTTCTTGTGTCAGTTTGCTGAGAATGATGGTTTCTAGGTTCATCCATGTCCCTACAAAGGACACAAACTCATCGTTTTTTATAGCTGCATATATTCCATGGTGTATATGTGCCACATTTTCCCTGTCCAATCTATCATTGATGGGCATTTTGGTTGGTTCCAGGTCTTTGCTATTGTAAACAGTGCTGCAACGAACATTCGTGTGCATGTGTCCTTATAGTAGAACAATTTATAATCCTTTGAATATATATCCAGTAATGGGATTGCTGGGTCAAATGGAATTTCTATTTCTAGATCCTTGAGGAATTGCCACACTGTCATCCACAATGATTGAACTAATTTACACTCCCACCAATAGTGTAAACGTGTTCCTATTTCTCCACATCCTCTCCAGCATCTGTTGTCTACAGATGTTTTAATGATTGTTATTCTAACTGGTGTGAGAGGATATCTCACTGTAGTTTTGATTTGCATTTCTCTAATGACCAGTTTTGCAGATGACATGATTGTATATTTAGAAGACCCCATCATCTCAGCCCCAAACCTCCTGAAACTGATAAGCAACTTCGGCAAAATCTCAGGATACAAAATCAATACAAAAATGACAAGCATTCCTATATACCAATTACAGATTAAAGAAAGCCAAATCAAGAATGAACTGTCATTCACAATTGCCACAAAGAGAATAAAATACCTAGGAATACAACTAACAAGGAATGTAAAGGACCTCTTCAAGGAGAACTATAAACCACTACTCAATGAAGTAAGAAAGGACAAAAACAGATGGAGAAACATTCCATGCTCATGGTTAGGAAGAATCAATATCATGAAAATGGCCATACTGCCCAAAGTAATTTACAGATTCAACGCTATCCCCATAAAGCTACCAATGACTTTCTTCACAGTACTGGAAAAAAACACCTTAAACTTCGTATGGAACCAATAGAGAGCCCGCATAGCCAAGTCTTTTTGCTTAGAATTCTAAGCAAAAAGAACAAAGCTGGAGGCATCAAACTACTGGACTTCAAACTATACTACAAGGCTACAGTAATCCAAACAGCATGGTACTGGTACTAAAACAGAGATATAGACCAATGGAACAGAATGGAGGCCTCAGAGGCAGCACCACACATCTACAACCATCTGATCTTTGACAAACCTGACAATAACAAGCAATAGAGAAAGGATTCCCTGTTTAATAAATAGTGTTGAGAAAACTGGCTAGCCATGTGCAGAAAGCAGAAACTGGACCCCTTCCTGACACCTTACACTAAAATTAACTCCAGATGGATTAAAGACTTAAATGTAAGACCCAACACCATTAATACCCTAGAAGGGAATCTAGGCAACACCATTCAGGACATAGGCATAGGCAAGGACTTCATGACCAAAACACCAAAAGCATTGGCAACAAAAGCCAAAATAGACAAATGGGACCTAATCAAACTCCACAGTGTCTGCACAGTAAAAGAAACAGTCACTAGAGTGAATCAGCAACGAACAGAATGAAAAATTTTTTTGCAGTTTACCCATCTGACAAAGGGCTGATATCCAGAATCTACAACAAACTGAAACAGATTTACAAGAAAAACAAACAAACAAGCCCATTCAAAAGTGGGCGAAGGATATGAACAGACACTTTACAAAAGAAGACATACATGAGGCCAAAAAACATATGAAAAAAATACAAAACTTTCACAACTTAAAAATAAGACAAATCCAATAAAATGAGCAAAGGATTTGAAAATACACTTTCTAAAGGAAAATATACTTTATAAATGATGAAAATGGTCAAATTATTAATCATCATGGAAATTCAAAATAAGTCACAATTAGATACATACATAATATAGTGGCAAAAATTAAAAAGTGATTAAAGTCAAAGGTAGCAAAAATGTAGAAATTTAAAAATCTACTACATTATGAATGATGATATAAATGGTCCAACCAAATGAAACAGTTTAACAGTTTCTAATAAAAGTAAACATATACCTACCATATAACCCATATGTGACAAATCTGTAGACACTATTCTACTCAAAGACATTTACCCCTAAAAAAAAATATGTCTACACAACTATTTGTTTACAAATGTTCACAGCAGCTTTTTTTTTAAACAATAGTCAAAAGTGGGAACAACCCAAATGTTCCTCAGCTGGTAAATAGCTAAAACTATTGTGATGTATTGCGATATATCCATACAATGAAATACCTCTCAGCAATAAAATGGAATAAACTACTCATACATAGGCCATCTATGATAATGGATCTTAAAATCATGTAATATTGAAGTTGAAGACATCAAATAAAAATAAATTATGTTGTATAAACTTTATGTAAAATTTTAGAAATGAAAATTGATCTAGAGTGAAAAACTAGTTCATGGTTGTCTGGGAATAAATGGCATGAGGAATAGAAAGCCGAACTTCTTGGAGGAGATTTCTGTGTCTAGAATTTGGTGGTGATTTTAAAGGAATGTATGTCTGTTGCATTTGTCAAGGTTTAATGTTTAAGTATATAGAATTTATTATATAACATTTACTCTTTATTATATTTATTTAAAAAGAGATATATCTATGTAATAAATCAACAAAACTATGAACAATGGAAAATTACAAGAATAGTGGTGAAAAAAAATATCAAAAAAGAAAACAAGAAAATTACTTTGATCATCTATCAAAAATTATTTTTGAAAATAGAAACCATTCTGCTTTATACATAATGTAGATTTGCAAATTTACACAGAGATCTTCCATTGTCAATAATTTATAGGTATCTTTTCATTTTATATCAGCTTAGATATTAATTTTCTTTTTTCAACAAAGTAATAAGATAATTTGAAAAATTTCTAACCTCTGTTTAATGTGCCAACATGATAATGGGGTACTGCAGTTGGTTCACAGTAGATAATCATATTTTGTTGGCCTAGTCTAATCATTTTCTAGTTCGTATTGAAAGAAATAAATTTGCAGCATATATAAAACTGTGAATCTAGAAGAGAACACAGTGTATCCAGTTCATAAATTTGTGCACATATACGATAGCATTAAAGATGTAAAATACTATCGTGGATCCACCTTTTCTTAGATTATGACATATTTACAAATGGTAATTGTTTCTAAAGATGCCCTGTGAATAAATTACAGTCTGCATTTGCTCCACTGCCTAGAGGAAAAGATGCATCTAATTTATCTTGGTTTAGACTTAATTTTTTCTCTGTGAATTTCATTCTCTATGAACACCAAAGCAAATATGGAGAATTGATTTTCAACAGGATAGAATACATAGTCTGCAAACTTGGAAGTGATGTGAAGTACAAAACTGAATATTTTAGGAAAATCTTTGCGATGAAGTCACATTATCCATATGTCAGTAAATAAGATTTAGAAAAAAATCATGTAAATTCATGTAAATACTAAAGCATACTGTTGTAGTATTGAAATTGCTACAACAGGAATTCACAAATATATAATTATAGCTATAACTCTCTTCTTATCTACTGAGGCTTATGGTAGCATGCACATTTAGCCACTCCATTAAATTGCAAGTTGGATACAGATTTGCCACATATGGAATGGGAGTTTATGGGAAAAGAACATACTTGGTTTAGGAGAGAATATCTGTATGACTTCTACAAAGCAGTGATTCACAGAATTTTACAAAGGAACTCAGATGTTTGCTTTTTCAAAATTTCTACTATTCTCTCACTCCTTGCATTTCTAGAATGTTTTCTACATGACAAATATATTAATGCATCATCTGAATTAACACTCCATGTTGGAGAGTTTATGCAGCTAATATTTATTGAGTGTCTTCCATGTACAGACAATAAAAGATTTTTACATTCATTAACACTGATAGAGCTCTCACAGAAAATTACTTTACAACATAATAACTCATTTATTCTTCAAAAAGCCCTGTGGAATAAGTAGCATTAAAATCATTTCTCACATGATGAAATAGCTTGTAATTGGGCCGGTGGGGATTTAAGGTGAGGCGATCTGTTTTCAGTGACTTTGCTTTTTCACTTTACTTCCTCATGATAGGCTATGTGTTTATACATGTTTCTTTGTTTTTTATTTTTATTTTATCTAAGTTGAAAAACAAAAATTGTATAGATTTATGGTGTACAATGAAATGTTTCATCCTATGTATATATTATGGAATGACTAAATCAAACTAATTAACATATTTATCACCTCAGGTACTTTTTTTTTTTTTTTGCCTGTGTTGAGAACATTTAAAATCTATTCTTAGCAATCAATTATGTAATGTGTCATTATTAACTATAGGCATCCTGCTGTATAGCAGACCCCAAAAACTTATTTCTCCTAAATGAAAATTCGCATCATTTGAATGACATCTCCCCATTCTGAGCCCCCACCAGCCCTTGATAACCACCATTCAATTATCTGCATTCCATTTTACATATTGTATATCATTAAATACTGACACTAATATTACATTTCCCAGAGACTACTGTGATACAATGACTAGAACACAGACAGAATATCAGCATTTGAGAGGTGAGTCTCCCCCTTATTGTGTGATATTATGCAAATTAATTCTAGTCTTAATCTCTTCCAGCTTATTTTCCTTATATATAACATGAGGAAAATCAATGCCTTGTCTTCCTTTGGGGGAAGTAAGAAAAGTTAAAGGAAATTGATTATTAAAATGCATTCGAAGTATCAGTTATATCTTACACATATCAGTTGTGCTAAATACATGCTTCTGTTAATGCGGGACAAAGTTCTTAAAATTGTAGGAATCTTATCTCAGAGATAATAGATTTTAAACTTGTTGCCAATGGAAAAATAAAGTTTTCTTTAAAATGAACTGTTGATATTAAGCTAGGCACAGTTTTACACCACTCACAGATAATTGTTTGAGTGGGAGGTAAGTGTCATTTTGGGAAGGGTGTGTGCAAATTCTAGATTTCATTTTGGAATTAATTGCTTAATTTGCCAGAGGACTATTCGACTCCAGCAATGTGAATTGGAGAAATCTAAATTATCCCAAATAGTCTTAGCATCAACGATAAGTAGAACAACTTCTTCTTATTTGGTTTTCCTCCTCCCTAATAGAAACAATAATATTGCCTTCCAAGCAGTGAACCATGAAGAACAGTAAAACACCTTAATTTGATAGCTCTGTCCCTTGTGTACGCTTTCATGTAAAATGCTTGAATGAGATAGAGTCAAGGGATTAATAGAGGAGGTAGATTCCATTTCTTTTAAGGATAGTGATAAAAATCTCACTACATGTTAAATGTCTTATCTATAAAAACTGTGCTTAGTGATCAACCATTTTGCTTTTTCCTTCTCCTGAAATAAAAGATACATTCTCTTTTATATTTTATGTTTGCAGCTCTAACAGGAAAATGTTCATTACATCATCATATATCTGAATTGAAAAACACGTCTCCAAATTCTACATTTAATTTTTTGGTTAAGTTTTAAAAGAATCATGATGCAATGCATAGAATGCCTTTAACCAAACTGAATTTTCTGTGACGTTTTAATAGTTAAAAGTAACTCTTCATTTTTTATGCTATTAAAGGTGGGGTTCCAATGTTAAGAAGAGGGCATCTGAAATGGAGGCTAAGTTGTGATTTGGCTGCAAACAATAAGAAAAATCTGAGGTGAGTTAACTAAGGTTTCTTCCCTTGAAAAAAGTAGTAATTTACAAAAATTGATACATTGTTATTAAAACACAATAAAAATGGTACACAGTTAAAATGTTTGAAGTCATATATTAACTTAAAATAGCTACTATCTTTGCTATCAATGGAATATCTGTTACATATTTACTGAAATAATCAGAAGAAAAAAACTGAAAAAATACAGTCAAGATAGTAAAAATAATTTGAAATATGACAGTATGTTTAATAGAATAATTAAAGAGATTAATCCTTTTTTTAAAAAAAATGATGTTCTTATCAAAAGTAAAATAAAATTCACTTTTATCTATATGGTATGCAGAATGATAGCCTTCCTTCCCAAAATACCATGCCTCTATTATCAGAATTTGAGATGATGTTACCTTAGGTGGCAAAGGGCATTTTGCAGATGTGAATAAATTAAGCGTTTTGAGATGGGGAGGTTATGCTGGATTATTTCAATAGTTCCAAAGTCATTACAAGATTCCTTACAAGGGGAGGAGGAAGACAGGAGAGTGAGAAGAAATATGGTAGCAGAGGCTGGAGTGATGCAACTGCTGACTTCAAAAAACACAGGAGCCTAGGTGATAAGAAAGCTAGAAAAGTCAAGGGACAGCTTTTCCCCTGGAGCCTACAGAAGGAACCAACCTTACCAACACTTTCATCGTAGTCCTGTAAGACTCATTTTGATATTCTGAACTCCAGAGCTTTAAGAAAATAAATTTGTATTGTGTTAAACCGCTAAGTTTGTGGTAATTTGTTATAGCAGCAATTTAACAAAACACCTAGTATAATGCAAGAGGAGAGTGTAAGTTTATTCCTAGGCTATAAATTCATTGAATACTAAAATGATCTCAACATTAATTCTTCTATGAATCATAAAGATACTAATTTTCAACACTTATTGAAAGCAGATGACTTTAGGGGTTCAGTGATGAGTCTGAGCTCTCTTAGAATTATATAAACTGTTCCATTAAAATTCTTTGTTATTGGAAAAATGTGCCAATATAGCTAGCTTATAAGCAGCTAGTGTGCACCACTCTCATAGAGAGGAAACAGATCTTCCAGTGGATTGTTCAGGAGGCCATGTTGGGATTCATGAAGGGAGCAACAGAAACCCCATGGAGTGCAGAAAGGAGCAAGGTGGGACAGCTGCCCAACCAGGATTGGCGCAGAACTAGAGAAGACTCCCTACTGTGGGGAAGGGGTGAGTGAGAGCTCCTGGGAATCCACACTTCTGCCACAGATCTTTGCAATCCTGGACACAGGAGATCCTCCTTCATGCCCTTGACCTCTAGACGGACACAGACATCTGCCTGGAGCTTGGGCAAACCCACTGCTTAAGCTGAGGTGGGGCCCCATGGTTCTTGGATCCCTGGGCACCTGAGCAGCTGCTATGGTAACCCTGCCAACAAGAGAGGTCAGGCTCTCTCACAGGCCCCTAGGATAGAGGCTGCATTCGTGGCGTGAGAAGTAGATGGACTAAATGCCTCACCTCTGCTGCACACCAGGAAAGGCCCACTGGCCTGAGACCCCACTGCAGCTACTCTACCTCTGCCTAAGTACTCTTGCTGGTGGCAGCTCTGCATTTCTCTTGGATGGTGCTCTACATCCAAGTGGCCCCTGCCACCTGGCCTCTGCTGCTACTGCCCTCAGGCTGGGAAGAGAGCAAAGAGCCCATGAACTGTCACAGGTCTCCAGTATACTGCAGTTGCCATACAGAAAGGTGGCCAGACTGTTTTCCACATGAGTCCTGAGTCCCTGCCCCTGCTTCTCTTCATGAGGCAAGGCCTCCCGGCTTGGGCCCCAGTGCAGCTGGGTGGAGCTCCCAGAGACAACTAACAAACACTCTGTCACTGCCACAGCTGCACTACAGGCTCTGTATCCTCTAAGTCTAGGGAAGGAACAAAGAGCTGATTGTTTTGCTTGCACCTCCAGCACACTGCAGCTACCCTAAGGAGAGGAGACCAGACTGTGTTTTTGTGAGCCCCTGTGCCCTCACTCTTCACCAAGCAGAGCTCTGGCTTGGGCCCATAGAGCAGTCTCTGGACCCTTGGTTGATTAATTCAATTAGCCATGATTCCCATGTTCCTCTAGGCTGGAGACCCCAGAAGAAACTGACAAATATTCTGACATTGCCTCCTCAGTGGTCCCTACTCCTGCTGCCCCCAAGCTGGGGAGGCAACAAAAAGTTTGAGCTCCCCCCAAGGCTGTGGTGGTAGCTTGGAATTGCCAAGCTGAGGTTCGTGAACAGCAATTGAGCAGAAAATGAGCCAGCACTGTAAGAGCACTGGAAAAGCTGAGTCTCAGGCTTGTGTGGTCTGCTACGGGAGTGGAGCATGCCTTCCTCTCAGGGCTGGCCCTGAAAGTGCCTCTGCCTGAGGAAGCACCATGGCCCAAACACTTGACAAAATAAATGAATGTATAGTGCAAGTGATTGGAGGGGTTCCCTCAATGCCCAGGAGCTGACTTGGTAAAGGGATCTCCTCTCTTTCCACTGCACTGCAGAGCATGAATGCAAATGCTAGGAAATACAAAAAAGTCACGTGGCTTAATAAAAGGTGATCGACTGTCCATGACTCTTAAGCATCATCTACTGTATTGTAGCACAAACTACTACAACCAAAATACATTGCTAATATCTCTCACTATGAAGCAAATGGCAAGAATCAGCCAACAAGACCCTGCACAGTTCCTGGGCCATCTGAAAACACGCAGAAATGAAGCCAATTTTCGATTCTCAGCTTACACCTTACTTAAAGGAACACGAACCCTCCTATATGAGAAAAAATCAGCCCAAGAACTCTGACAATTCAAAAAGCCAAAGTGGCCCAGGTGCAGTGGCTCACGCCTGTAATCCCAACGCTTAGGGAGACCAAGGCGGATGGATCATGAGGTCAGGAGATCGAGACCATGCTGGACAACATGGTGAAACCCTGTCTCTACTAAAAATACAAAAAAAAATATAGCTCGGCGTGGTGGCACCCGCCTGTAGTCCCAGCTACTCAGGAGGCTGAGGCAGGAGAATTGCTTGAATGAAGGAGGTGGAGATTGCAGCGAGCAAAGGTAGTGCCACTGCACTACAGCCTGGGTGACAGTGTGAGACTCCGTCTCAAAAAAAAAAAAAAAAAACCAGCAAATGAGCCCACTAGCTCCCCAGAAATGGCTCTTAACCGGTCACAATGACTGAAATGACAGACGTAGAATTCAGGATCTGAATGATGAGGAAGCTCATTGAGATTCAGGAGGAAGGTGAAAACCAATCCAAGGAATCCAGTAAAATAATCCAAGAGTTGAAAGACAAAATAGTCATTTTTAGAAAGAATCAAAGTGAACGTCTAGGGCTGAAAAGTTCACTACAAGAATTTAATGATGCAATGGAAAATATTAACAGCAGAAAAGGCTACGCTGGGGAAAGGATCTCAGAACTTGAACACTAGATGTTTGAATCAAGTAAGTCAGAATTTTTTTTTTTAAAAAAGAGAATTAAGAAAAATGAACAAACCTTTGAGAAATGTGGGACTATGTAAACAGATAAAATCTATGATTCATTGGCATTCTTGGGAGAGAATAGAGAATAAATAACTCAGGAAATATATTTATGGATATAGTTCAGAAAAATTTCCCTAAATATGGTAAATATGTTGACATGCAAATTTGAGAAATACAGAGAACCCTGGCTAGATACTAAGCAAGATGACCATGCTCAAGCACACAGTCATCAGATTCACAAAGCTCAACATAAAAAAGTAATTTTAAAAAAATTTCCATCTTTTAAGTTCAGGCGTACACATGTACAGGATGTGCAGGTTTATTACACAGGTAAACGTGTGCCATGGTGGTTTGCTGGACAGGTCACCCCATCACCTAGATATTAAGCCAAGTATCCATTAACTATTCTTCCTGATTCTCTCCCTAATCCCACCCCTGCCCTCTGAAAATCCCTAGTGTGTGTGTTTTTCCCCTCATGTGTCTATGCGTTTTCATCATTTAGCTCCCATTTATCAGTGAGAACATGTGGTATTCGGTTTTCTGTTTCTGTTTTAGTGTGCTAAGCATAATGGCCTCCAGCTCCATTCATGTCCTTGCAAAGGACCATCTCATTTCCTTTTATGGCTACATAGTATTCTGCGAGGAATAAAAATAAAATTTAAAGGCAACTGGAGAGAAAGGTCAAGTCATGTATAGAGGGAATCCCATCATGTTAGCAGCAGACCTCTCGGCAGAAATATTACAAACCAGAGAGATTGAGAGCCTATTTTTAGCTTTCTTAAAGAAAAAAAATTCCAGCCAAGAATTTTGTATCTCACCAAACAAAACTTAATAAGTGAAGGAGAAATAAAGTTATTCTTAGACAAGGAAACATAGAATTTCTTGTAAGATGAGCCTTACAAAAGATAGGTCCTTAGGAACTAACTACTAAACATGGAATTGAAAGAATAATACCTGCTATGACAGAAACACACCTAAGCACATATTCCATAGGCACTATAAAGCAATTACACAATCAAGTCTACATAACAACCAGCTAACAACACGAGGAAAGGATCAAAATCCCACATTTCAATACTAACCCTGAATGACATGGGTTAAATGTCCCAGTTTAAAGGCATAGTATGCCAAGTTGGATAAAAAGACAAGACCCAACCATACGCTGTCTTCAAGAGACTTTCTCACATGTAACAACATCCACAGATAGGTTAACAGTAAAGGGAAGGAGAAAGGTATACCATAAAAATAGAAAACAAAAGAGCAGGAGTAGCTATTCTTATATCAGGTAAAACAGATTTTAAGCCAATACAAACTAAGAAGAGCAAAGAAGGCCATTACATAATTATAAAGGGCACAATTCAACAAAAAGATTTAAAATACATGTACCCAACATTAGCATACCCACAACCATAAAACAAGTTCTTCTTGACCTATGAAGCGATTTAGACAACAAGATAATAATAGTGGGAGACTTCAACACCTGCTGACAG